CCAACCAACCAACCAACCAAACAACAACCAACAACCAACAACCAACAACCAACAACCAGCAACCAGCAACCAGCAACCAGCAACCAGCAACCAACAACCAACAACCAACAACCAACAACCAACAACCAACAACCAACAACCAACAACCAACAACCAACAACCAACAACCAACAACCAACAACCAACAACAAACAACCAACAACCAACAACCAACAACCAACAACCAACAACCAACAGCCAACAACCAACAACCAACAACCAACAACCAACAACCAAACGGCCAAACAAAGCACAACAAGCAACAGCCAAAGCAATAACAGCCAACAGCCACAACCAGCCACAGCAACCACAGCAAACAACAACCACAGCAGCTGCAACAACCCCGGCAACACAACAACCACAGCAGCGCAACATGCAATAACACCAACAATGATAACCAATAACGACAACAACCAACAGCCGACCAACAACCAGCAAGCAGCAACAATAGCAACAGCCAACAACAACCAACAAAAACAACAATAAACAAGACAAAGCAACATAACAGCAACAACAACAACAACAACAAGAACAAGAACAAAAAACAACAAGAACAAGAACAAAAAACAACAAGAACAAGAACAAAAAACAACAAGAACAAGAACAAAAAACAACAAGAACAAGAACAAAAAACAACAAGAACAAGAACAAAAAACAACAAGAACAAGAACAAAAAACAACAAGAACAAGAACAAAAAACAACAAGAACAAGAACAAAAAACAACAAGAACAAGAACAACAAACAACAAGAACAAGAACAAGAACAAAAAACAACAAGAACAAGAACAAAAAACAACAAGAACAAGAACAAAAAACAACAACAGCAGCAGCAGCAGCAGCAGCAGCACAAGCAGCAGCAGCAGCAACGGCAACAACAGCAGCAGCAGCAGCAACAGCAACAACAACAACAACAACACAAACCAAGCAAGCACAACAAAAAAGCAGACTCCTGCGCTGAGGCCATCGAAAGCAAAAGAATGCCTGCGCGACTTCAGACTTGAAAGGTTTTCCAGAAGTTGATCAGGTATCTGATAAATCACGATAGTATCAGTTCAACCACAGATAGCGTCAGATTGGCAATAGGACGAGACATGTTTTGTCCATATGGACAACAGAACAATACAAACCACCAGAGTTAAAAGGGATGTTGAGCAGGAATTGATCGGACCTGAGCCGCCCTTGGTCCCTTGTTTTGGGGGGCTCCTCTAAAGTTCTCCATCGTTCTTGACGGAAAGTTTAAGGCCGTATACAAGGGAAAGATCATACGCCCATCGGGTGTCTCTTTTTTCTCAGGCTGCCCTTTTGGGGTTTGACGGGGGAGCTTGAAGGAACCATCCATTTTTGAGGGGCTCCACGATATCCTGTTTCGAGGCAACCCCAAATGGCAGTGCTTGCTTTGGAGGGAAACCCCACTTGGTCGGATTGAAAGGGAAAAGGACATCACCCAATTTGAAACGGTTATGAGACATATCCTATTTCGAAGCGGAGGGCTTTCCTAAAACCAGAAGCCTTCCGGCCATTGAATGCCGGACTGAAACGAAAGTGTATATGATTCTTGCGAAACCTCTTCTTTTGAAAATGCACCCTAACCAAACATTAGGTATAGTATTTGCAGAAGGCTTGCGCAAGACAGCAACCAACCAGTATCGACCTTTCAAGAAGCTGGATTAGTTTCCGTGTTTTTTTCTCCAACAGCTGCAAGCGATGGGGTCTCAGCCCAGATAGGCTGCCGGGTGGTCCGGGGCTGCTCTGAGGTAAGGTTCCGCTGGGTTCTGCGAGGGTTCTGCGAGTGTTCTGCGAGGGTTCTGCAAGGGTTCCGCGAGGGTTCCACGAGGGCTCAGGGTTCCATGGCGGTTCCGCGAGATGGACGGGGCGGATCCTACGCAAGGGTCAGGGTTCCACGGCGCGGTTCCGAGGAGGGTTCCGTGGGTTCTGAGGAGGGTTCTGCAAGGTTCTGCAAGCGAGGTTCTGCAAGGGTTTGGGGGGGCGGGGGTTTTCTGCGAGGGTCGGGGGTTCCGAGGAAGGTTCGCGAGGGTTCCGGGAGGGTGCAGGGCGCCGAGGAGGGTTCTGCAAGGGTTCCGAGAATGCAGCTGGCAGCTCCGAGGAGGGTTCTGTGAAGGATCCGCGAGGATTCCATCAAGGTTCTGGAGCAGCTTGCGCTGTTGGGGATATCACCTGAACTTATCGCAAGTTGGGTGTTTAGAGTGGTTCTTGGGCATGGTTGCAGGGAAAAACTACCCTCAACCTTTAATTCACGTGCGCGGGCAAACTTCTGCCGCCCCTTGGCGGAGGGTTCGTCCTCCAACGTGATCTCCGAAAGCTATGGAGTGAATTGGAAGGAGGATTGACTTGCGCTACCTTGATATCGACAACCCTGGGTTTCCTGGGCGAACCCAACGCTCTGTGTGTCAGAACTAGGGAGGGCGATGCCCAACAGTACAAGGGATGGTAGTCCAGCTAG